AGTTCATTAGATTATAATTAGGAGTAAGAAATTTTTAAAACATAAAAACAAAATATAAAGAAAAATGTAAAAATTAGACTCTATAGTGTTATATTTACTATGAATGTGAGGCATTCATAACCATAATTGAAACTTCTTCAATTTATGTGATAGTTGAATTTTTTTTTCCCTTTGATTTCCCATGTAAAGTGTACAATATTACCTTAATTGCTATTTTAAAGTTATAGGAACCAAAGAAACTAAGAGTTCGTTCATTATAAGAAATTTGGTTTAAAAAGTTGGGATTGTGATTTTTCATAGAAAAATTTTTATGTTTTTCATGAACACATTTTCTAATCACCTTTTTACCTCACATATATCAAATCGTTACAATACATTTTTCTACAAAAACTCTTAAAAATAGCAATCCAAACGTCACATAATGTTTTTATAATTATTATTCAAAAGTAATACTAATCGTAGGGTAAGTAGGTACCAATCATATACTTTTTGAGAAAGTTAATTGTTAGTCTGGTATAGGACACTTTATCAAAAGAAATTAAACAAAATAACAAATAAAATTACTGATAATTATATTTAAGAGAGCCAAAATAATAATATAATTTTAGTTGACAACTAGAATTATAGTAAAGATTTTAAAATTCTGAAAACTTTTGCAGGCGCGGCTGTCCCTGCCATCCCGCTGTGTCAGACCCAAAGTCCCTCTCTGTGTAATGGATGGATTGTAAGGAAATTTTTTTCGTTATTTTCGTTATTTTTTATTTAGTTTTTGTATCAGGCAAATATAATAGAGAGGAGGCCATCATTCTTGGTTACACAAATTCTGGAGCGGGATTTAGTGCAATTCATCCGGCTTTAACTTTTTTTTTTCCTTTTTTATTCAGTTTTTGGGACATCGAAATGAGGGACTTTTTTTCTTTTTCTTTTTTTTTTAACATTGAAGTGAGGGACCTTTAAATTAACGATCTGTCAGTTGAGATGCTTTTAAGTATCTTTTTTTTGCTTTTATAATTGCCTAGTGACTTCTTCGCTGGCAATGTCTAACGTTGCGTGGGTCCATTTTGATGCCAATTACATGCTGAACGATCTAAAACTCTAATCATGATTTTTTGTCGTGACGGTAAAATTCCTGTAAGTTAATCTTGGGGAATGAGAAGGGGATTATATATGAGTACAGACTCTATCGAAAGAAACTAATTAAGGCCGCCACATATTGTAATAAATTTTGATGGGAAACAAAAATTGAACCATTGATCTCCAACACCATAAAATTGGTGGTGATCACCGGGCCAAAGGCCTAGTGGCAAAACTCTAATCCTGATTGGTTTGCAACATTTTAGATACATTTTTTTAAAAAAAATTAATTAATTGAGTGAGAGGACTCTAAACTTTACAAAAAGGAAGTGAGAAACGGAAGACTTGAGGTTTGGATCTAGAAACCATGATTACCCAATTGATGTTGATACTAGTTAACCGACCCTCAATAATAAAAATTTGCAAGTTTACGTAACATAGGTTGTTTATTTTGATTGGAGAAATTCAAAAAATATTAAACATTGATTCGATCTGAACCGTAAATTTAGGATATCCAAATTGATTTTAATATGTGGTTCAGATAGTAGATCAGATTGACAAGTGAGCACGTCCTCTCGCAATTCGCTATTAGAGGGAAAGGACACTCAGACCGATGAAATGTAATTAGGGACTGATGCTCACTCCTCTTTACTCTTTGTTCATGGCTTAATGCCCTTGTTAGTAATTAGTATTTAAACTCTAGTCAAAGATTCCATCAAACTAAAATCTCTATTGAAGTCATTTTTCTATTTTCTTTTGAAAATAAGAACTAGCTATCTCGTAAGATTAATTTCTGTAGCATGCATATTGAACAACAATGCTTGAATTTTCCACAAACAGAAAAAAAAAAACAATGAAATAAAAAGTTATCAGTCTTTTTTTCCCTTTCACTTGAAATGAAAGGAACTCTTTTCGCGATAATAAAAATTTTTGTTCAACTTTAATTTTTTTCCTTTCTTTTTTTTTGGACCCTTATATGCTCTTTTTCTCTCTTTCAACCTAGGCGAAAATTCCAAGAAAGTCTTACCTTATTGAAAGCAAAAATCTTTTAGTAATTTTTTTTTTAAAGGAAAGGTCTAGGTGCTGCAGGGTCCCTTTCTTAGTGGACAATGCCGACACTAGTGCTTCTTAGCTGCAAAATGTGTCTGAAATAATTCATTCAAAAACCATGAAGTAATGAATAAAAAATTTCTTTGCTTTTCCAAATCGAGATCCGATTTTCTCGTGATTCCAACACTGTCACCACTACGTTGTTATTTGTTAACCTTTTCTTTCTTGCTCCGTCTGTTTGTTGAATAATTAAATGTTCCACAAAATAAATAGTTGCTAGATCTGGAGATGGCGAGATTTGTTAATTTCTCCTTATGCTACACAAAAATTTGAGAGTGAAATTGAGGAAGTTCCTTGCACTGTAAGAGTTGGATATGACCTCCACTTGATAGATCCGATCTGATTGAGCTCATATGAAAGTAGATACTTCCTCCGTCCCAATGTCCCAACGAAAGTATCATATTTTTCTTTTTTGACTGTTACAAAATATTTATCACATTTGACATTTCTCACTATTTTATACTCTGAAATTTTTCTTATACCCTTCATTAATGATACATAAAAACAAATGTGATGAGATTATTTTCTACTTTTTACTTTGACCAACACATGATTAAAGGCAAAAGTAGAGCAAAAGAAATTTTTTTTGGTAGAATGCACTATGCATAAAAAACACATATCCCCAAACATGACTAAATATATGAGACGGAGGGAGTATTAATTATAATATTTTTTTGAAAGAATTTAAAATAGACGATCATTACTAATGTTAAAAAGTATGCCTATACATCATGAGGTTTAAGAGTATTTTCTTAATCAAACTACTTGATTTGATACTTTGATCAAACTACTTGAGCTCGACCAGCCAATCTTGAGACAGTTTCGCTGCTAGAAAGCTGGCTTACGAGATTCGTTTGTTGTTCTATCTAAAAGATAAATACAACACTATAAAAGCCTTATCAATTCATTAGCTGTGTATAATATTATTAAATTTAACCACAAAAGAATATGAAAATGTTCTTGCGACCTATATCAATTAGCCCAAAATTGTTCAGGTCCCAAAAACTTGAATATAGTTGCTCACATATAACAAATGGCACAGGTTAGAATCACAAGGCCAGAGATCGGTGAATGAAATCTTCTCCCATCTAAAACATTGCCCTCGAATGTGGAAGAAAGACTAGTGAGAAGACTTGAATTAATTTCCAATGGCCCCACGTAACACTTAATTGGGCATATACTTGTGTTTAGATATGAGATTATTTGGGATAATTTACAAAAAATAAAATAAAATTATATCACTCTTTTGATATGATATATGTGAAATAAAAATATGTGATTAAAAAATATATTTATGATGCAAGAAGATAAATTTGTACAAATAATTAGTTTAGATTTAAGTCTTGACTCTTGTAAGACGTATTACAACTAATTAGTAGAAATTTCCTCTTCTTTAATCCAATCATTTTCTTTGACCATTGTATATTGGTAACATTAATGCACGCTAGTAACATTAATTTTGCACGTTATCATTTTCCTGTTTATATTTATTATCTTAGCGTTTACATTTATTAAGGTAATGATATATTTTATTATATAATTGACACTAGTAATTGCAGAAATCCCACAATTCTCTGCATTCCCTACTTTGTTGGCCATGGTTATTAATCTCCAAGATCAATGGTCATGATTATTAATACGAGAGAATTAGAAGAGAAAGTGATCAAATTTAGTGGTTTGCTCAAGAAAGAAAATAATTGAAGAAAATTAGGGAGCTAGATTGAACATTCATGCTAAAATAAAAAATAAAAAGAAACCAGCTAAAGCTGTATTTGTATTTATATCTCTATACTCCCAATAAAAGTCTCTTGGATCATTTATATTTTGATGTTTCTTTATTTTTTGTTCTTCCCAATATACCCACACTAAATAAGATAATAGCTTAACTATAATTGACATATTTTAAACATGGATGAATTAAAAGACTCAACTCTGTGCTTGCAAAATAGGCAATGCTTGTACAAGCTCAGTTGTAATTGTTTTCATTCAACTGAAAGAATTCATTAAACTAAAACCTCTAAAGTCATTTTACTTTTTCCATAGTAACTAAAATGAAACTAGTTACTTCACAGAATTTATGCATGTAATAATATGATGGGACTATGTGGAGCAACAACAATGGTTAAATTTTTTGAAGAAACAATCCATTAAAGATTAAAGTAAAACAAGTCTGAATTGAGCAGCTATGGTTAAATTTTTGTGCTTCTGTAGTATAGGTGCAGGGACCCTTTGCCAATGGAACATACCAGAGTAGTCCTTCTCAACTACAATACGAGTATCAAATAGTAGAAAAATAATACAGTAGCCAATGAAAACTTTTTTTTTTTCTAAACATAAGATGGCTTTATGATAATTCCAGCATTTTCTCTTTACTTTGCTGATATTCTGTTTCTTGTTCCGTTTGTTTGTTAAACAATTGAGTATCTGATTTCTCTTCTTCACTATCCCACCAAAAATAATAATAATAATAATAATAATAATAATAATAATAATAATAATAAAACACAATAAAATAAAAGGAAAGTAAATTTGAGGAAAGAAAGACTTGCTGGCCTATTTAAGACTTGCTGGAAAGAAAATGTTTCAAGAATGCAATTTCCTGTGATCATGAGAGATTGTCGTATCAAATTTCCCTAATAAAATGTTGATGACAGATTGTCAACTTAATTTTATCAATTTCCATTTGTAATTAGTTCAAGATAAATTTGGATTTTGGGTGAAGCCAATTTAATCCAACACGTTCCTCCAATTCCACCTAGTTGAGTAATTGATTATCACAGTCTGGGGTCCACCCACTCACCAGAAGGAAACAAATAAGAAAAGCAAAGAAGTAGTAATTTTCAGGAAAGAAATACTTTGCTAGCTCTGCAGTTAGTGAGATTTGTTTCTCCCTTAAAATTTGAGAGTGAAACTGAGGAAATTCCCTGCATAAGAGATGGAGATGGCCTCCACTTGCAGCATATATCGTGTCTTACTTGATTGGACTGTTCCTTACGATGTTCGTGTTGCAATCAAACACATGAAATTTCTCAAAACATTTCTTATGTGTGCAAGAAAGTGGAGCCAAAGCAATGATTTGTACTTGGAATCTGACAATGTTGTGAAGAAGGTGAGTCTTCCATCTTTCTTATCTTGCATTGAAGATACCTTTCACAAATATGAGGAGGATATTCACTCTCTTTCCCTTAGATTAGAAACAGACAAAAATGCCCAAAATACTGTTAATCTTGCAGTGTTCCTCGAAATTAAGAAACAGATCAAATCACTGAAGCAAGAAATCATCCAAAAAATCATCCAAATTTACTTTGCTTTGGCAAGCAACAGGTCATTGCAATCAAATTCTTGTATGACAGATGATGAACTGTTGGAATTCATAGACCTCATCCTGCAAGATCTAGCAGATTTGACAAATTACTATATGAATTGGGAAATTAGTGAATCGTATATTTTGAGTGCTCAAGTCCAAGCCCTTGAAGCAAAGCTGACGTTCTTGAAAAGCTTCATTCCCTTTGCCAAAATGCGAGGAACTGCAGATATTCCTGCCTTGCTATTGGCGCACTTTGAAGTGGCGGCTTTGAACGCAGCACGCCTCTCTTACATGTTTTCTTATTGGGATGATGCAAAGGAAATGCACAATCCTGAGTTCTACTCCATGATATATGAACAACAACAGAAGATCAGAGCTGTTGATTTTCAAGTCTATGAGATTTACATGGAAGTTCTTAGAGCTACAAGATCCTCAAAATCATTGCATTATCGAATGATGGATCAGCAGATATTGAACAACTTCAATGATTCTCTTATAGGTTGTCTCTGGGAGCTGTTCTGCTGCAGTTCAAGTTTTATGGATTCTATGAAAGATGAAATGGGAATACTCTATGCAGGACTGAGATTCTTGAGAAGCATTTTAAGGGAGCATCAGGAGAAAATGGATGAACAAAACGAAAAAATTGGTGCTCTTCTTAGTGAGGCAGGCATTATAATTTGCTCGCCTTCTCTAAACAGAGTGAAAGGAGGAGAAGTTAGCTTCTCAGAGTCCACAGATGCCCTTGACTGTTATGATATGCTGGCTAATACCAACATCCATATCAAGCATTTTAAGGATCAGATCAGTGGCTCAAGCATTATTGAAAGTATTCCTTCCGTTCATAGCTTAAGAGCACCAGAAGTTAGCAAGACTTCCAGCCGCATGCTATCAAAAGGTAAAATGCCAATAACCCACGAAGTCATGGTTGGTCTTGATGATGAGGCAGAAAAAGTAATTGAACGACTTGTAAGCGGATCAAAACAGGTGGAAATTGTTCCCATTGTGGGAATGGCTGGGGTTGGTAAGACAACTTTAGCCAAAAAAGTTTACAATGATAGGTCAGTAATCTGTAACTTCCACATTCGTCTTTGGTGTACTGTTTCTCAAGAATTTAACATGAAAAATGTGTTGCTTCAAATTTTGTGCTCTGATGGCAAACATTCTAGGAAGGATGAGTTTCAAAATCTGGATGAACATGCGTTGCTTGAAAAGCTCTATCAAAGGCTATTGAAGAATCGGTATCTTGTTGTTTTTGATGATGTCTGGGACATTGAGGTATGGAATGAGCTGAGAATTGCATTCCCCAATGACAAGAATGGAAGTAGAATCATCTTTACGAGTCGATTTTCTAATGTAGCTTCAGAGGTTCAATATGGTGGAGAACCTCACTATCTTCACCCACTCAGTGAGAAAGAAAGTTTTGAACTACTGCTGAAGAAGGTTTTTGGAAAAGAAGATTGTCCTCAAGGATTGCGTGGAATCGGAATGGAGATTGCCAAAAAGTGCAGGGGATTACCATTTGCAGTTGTTGTTGTTGCTGGAATTCTAGCAACTATAGAGCATGATATTTTGGTTTGGGAAGAATTTGCTGAAAGTTTAAGTTCGACCACGGTGTCTGGTACAGACCAGTGGAAGAAGTCATTGGAGCTCAGTTATGAGCATTTACCATATCACTTGAAGGCATGCCTGCTGTATTTTGCAGCATTTCGAGAAGATGAAAAAATTGGTGCCAAGAATTTGATGCGCCTCTGGATTGCAGAAGGGTTTGTGGAAAAAATTGAAGGAAAGAGATCAGAGGTCATTGCAGAAGAATATCTGATGGACCTTATTGGTCGAAACTTAGTTATGGTAAGTAAAAGCGGATCCATTGGTGGAGTCAAAACTTGTTACATTCATGATTTGATATTTGAGTTCTGTAAGGACGAGGCGAAAGAAAAGAAATTTCTTCGGGTCCTGCAAGGGTATGATGAGCTTTCTATCTTTATTGAGCCTCCCAACCTACCTCGGTTGTCCATTCGCTCCAGTGTAGAAGATTTTATAAAGTCAAAGCTATTTTGTCCACATTTAGGTACTCTGCTATTCTTCTATGTTACTCCAGGATATGAGTTTCGGTTGGTTAATATCTCCTTCCTTTTTTGCATCTACAAACATCTTAAAGTTTTGAATTTAGAGGGCATTAACCTATGGCTGAAGGAGTTTCCAACTGAAGTCGAATCACTTCTTTGTTTGAGGTACTTAGCCCTTACAGCTTGGTACATGAAATTCATTCCGCCATCTATAGCCAAGCTCTCACATTTGGAAACCTTTTGTCTCGTTTCTGGTGTGACGGTATCATTGCCAGATAGCATCTGGAACATGAAGAAGTTGAGGCATGTACATGTGAGGCATGGCGTCGTTATTCCTTTCTCTTCCAACAACAACGTTGTTGAAAACCTCTCTATTTTACCCAATTTAGACACACTCTCTACTCTGCATCTTGATCTTGATGAAGAGGGAGAGAACATATTGAGAAGGATTCCCAACGTTCGCCGACTTAAAATTCTCGATTTGGGGGGACAAAACAGAGTATGCTGCAACATGAGTCGACTAGCATGCCTGGAGTCACTCACCTTGTTATGCCACTTCTCAAGTTCGCGGGAGTCTTTTCCCATGAATTTGAAGAAGTTGAGTCTTTATAATCTGGGTCTTCCCTGTAGTGAAATGTCATTGATTGAACAACTACCCAATCTTGAAGTACTCAAATTAAGAGTCCAGTCAATGGAGGGCCAAAGGTGGGAACTGATGGAAGGAGGATTCCCTAAACTCAGGGTCTTGACTTTGGAATATGTACTGATTGTTGAGTGGATAGAGACAGACCCTGACAGTGATGATTACTTCCCGTGCCTTCAGCAATTAAAACTCGAAGGAATTCCTAATTTGAAAATGATGCCTGCTTGTTTAGGGGTTATATCTACTCTTGAAACAATTACGGTGAATTTTTGCGGAGATGGTGTCAAATCTTTAGTACGGGAAATTGAAGAAGCACAGAAATATAATGGGAATGAGAATCTGAAGATCATTTATGAAAAATATTGAAGGGCATCAGCTGGTGCAATATCAGGTAATTTTTTTTGTACTTCAATTGCTTGTAATGCATGCGCGAGCATATTGAAATTGATGAACAAATAACTAATTATTGCTCTATTTTTCCTTAATGATATCATCAGGGAGTGCTACGCTAGTTTTTCCTCTTGAGATTGTAATTGGTCATCCGTGAGGTCTGACTTTCTTTGGTGCTTTTGTAGAAGATGGAGGTAAAAGTTGGAAAGGATCGATGACTCTTTTCTTATCAAGATATGGCGGAAACAATTAATGAGATTCGTACAACGTGCACCGTTTGATCAATCTGCACGGCAGCATAAAGGTTATTCAGATAATTTGCTGTTGGCGTATTTTGTGTAATTTCGTTTTGCTGAATTTAGTCATGGTTGCGTGCTAGTTCTTTTCAAACATGTATGAATTTGCTGAATTGGGACTTGGAAAATAGGGACAATGTACGAAGGTACGGCCGCAAAATGGTTGGTTTTTGACTGGCAAGAGACTCTGTTATCTTTTTTTCATTTTTTTGGGCAAATTACATATTATCCCCTATAATTTAGTAATATTTTTGTACATAACCCCCTATAGTTTCAAAAGTTATACTTAACCTCCTCATAGTTTAGAATAAAATGTCAAACAAACGGAAATTATCATTAGTAACGAAACCTATTAAAATGTTGAAATTATCCTTATTTAAAAATTAAAATGGTTGAAGTGATCAAAATATATAAACATAATATACATGACACATTAGTAACCCTGTATGAGTTTATATTTTAGCATATTACTCTCTTATAATTTAACGCTTTACCATATAATCTTCTTATGATTTTCAAAATATACATATAAACCTTTTTGTAGTTGATAAATAATTTTCAACTTTACATAGGGGTATTTTGTGACATTTTAGGTGATTTCGTTATGGATTGCAAATTTCATCATTTTGACACTTTGATCCAAACCATGAGAAGGTTATGATTGCTTTTGAAACTATAGGGGGAATTATGTATAAAAACACTAAATTACAGAGGGTAAAGTGTGATTTGTCCCAAAAAAAGGTTCATAATTCTCATTTTCTATGCATATGTTTTTTTTCAAAAAGAAAAGGTAACTGAATTATAAAAAAAAAGGACAACAAAGTATTGACTGCAATGAGCTGAAATCAATAGCTTTTTCTTCAACTGTAGTTGCAAGTTAATTTGGATCTACAACAAAAGCTGGTAAGCTAATTAGTTTAGCTGCTATTTATATATAAAAGAAATTATTCATTGTTTGTCAAACTATTTAGTTTCTTTTCTAACATTTGATGTTGCAGTTGTCGTCATTGTTTCATTTTTCACTTTGAAATTTTATATTTCGCAAGCTTGTCATAATTTCTTTAGGAGTCATAGAGCTTACAAAAAAAAAAATAATACTTTTGGAAAATTAAGCACCCGATATGATAACTATGTTAGAAAAGAAACAGGAATTTGCTTACTATTGAATAAGATTCTTTTACTTCTATTTATAGAATTAGATAATATAATCTACATATCAAGTAAGAGGAAGTAGACTTTCAATAATATGTTACAAAGTTAAAGACAGATTGGATAACTCATTGGTGAACTAAACTGGGATTTTTGCACACAAATATGTTGGCATACAATGAATTGTTGGGGTGAAAAGAAAGTTTTTTTTTCTTTTTTTTTTTAAAAAAATCTACTGCTTAAAACGTACTACATTTTTTTCTCTCTCAATGGGGGCACATATAAAGATTTTCAGAGTCAAAACAAAATTATTATGAAATTTATATACCTAAAGTTTAAGCTTTTCTTTGGCCAGGCACCACTGCCTTATGTGTAGACATGCCTCTGGCTGCAGGGTTTTGTCAGCCTTCTGCGGGCTACCCAAGCCCGAATTTGACACGATCAGGCCCATCCATTTTGCTATTCAACAGATGCATCGGTCACCTTTGGCAACCCCGATGTCTATGGAAGGGTAATGCACCACTGAATAAAATCCAAAAGTTTGGAAAAATTTTATGAGTATACCAGAAATGAAACCAAAAAAAAAAAAAAAGGAAAATGCTTACCTTTGTGCTTACATCATCCAAGTCAGTGCCCAATCTTCCAGCCCTGAACATATAAGTCTAACTGAGCCTTTAAAGTCAATTACTTTTCCTTATTCAATTTATCCACTTGTTTCAATCGATAACATCTTTGAATGATTTGTAGACTTATCAATAATGTCTCCTGCAATTAATACATAGCAGACCTATGTATCCTAATGACCAATAACACATCTCAGCAGTGCCAAAAGGAAAGGTCTATGACCCTACGCGTTACCTTGTAAGGATGCTAACAACTACCACAATGTTTAGTTGTGATAAAGAAAAGAGTTAGGGATAAATATAACTAATTAAGGTGTCGTTATGTGACAATGCCAGGTGTGTCTTCTATGTCTAATATTTAACGGGTGATGAGGACCTACCTTTATTTGTGAGGTGTATTAGGTGGTGATGTGCTATGTATTGTAAGCTAATTATGATTATTATGCCGATTGGAGCTAAAAACTCCCTACTTGTTGACCAGAAGAGTCCTAAATGCTCTTTTTTTTTTGTCAATTAAATTAGGCCAATTGAATACGTTCTTGACTATTTTTTTTATTGGTTTTGAATTAGGATTGTAAAAAAAACACCACATAACTTCAAGTCCAAGATTGTATGCAGTTTGTCCAATAAATAGATATTCATAATTCATAATTTCATGTACACATGTTAATTAGAAGTGTCAATCACAATCCAATTATATTAACCTGTCCAAATCCGCCTACTAATTGCTCGCCCAAATCCGCTCTTTAACTTTAAATAGGTCTATGTGGTACCTAATTAAACCCATTTAATTGGTGGATAGTGGATTGACTCAACTCACCAATTTATACCCATTTAAAAATAAATATACATTTAAACTTAATTTTTAGTAAATGTTAAAAAGATAAATTTCAATTTCCTACGAATCTAATAACAATAAAATATCGTTCTCTCTTGTCAAACAACATACAAAAAATAAAAAAAAATAATAAATAGAATTTCAAATGAGTCATAAATTGGTAATTGAGTATACCCATATACATTTATTAAATAGGTATAAATGGATTGATCCAATTATACTCATTGCCGAATAGAAATCCACTCAAATCCGTCTAGATCACCCATTTTGACACATCTAATGTTAATATATATTGACGTGTGACAAGTGCACCATTGATCACAAAGATATTTGATAATTTCAAAAATATTGATACTTAGGCTGTGTGTGATCAAAAATATTGATCACAGGTTTGTTTGGATTGTAAGTTATTTGGGATATTTTTACTGTAGCACTTTTTGTGATGTGATGTATGTGAGATAAAAAGGTAATTCGAAAAATAAAAAGATGTATTAAAAATTGTAATGATGATGTAAGCAAGTAAAATTGGAAAAATAATGTTGAATACAGACAAACCTATTAATGGTACTTATTTATCTCAATATTATAATCATTTTTTCATTACAAAAATATTATAATTTTATAATTTCATGAAAGTATGTAATCAGTGACATAACATTAGATGACATGATAGCCGTCAATGGCGAATCTTTTCACGAGTCTTCTTTTCAAAGCTTTGATTGGGTGCATACGCTTTTGACAATATGAGCCCTTTATGGTAGGAACGAGTTGACCGTTCCTTCCCGTATGCTGGGTGTGCGTGTCAAAAATCCAAATGGACACGCCATATTCTGTCCAATGTGCCATCGCTTGTGGTGGTAAAGGGTTTTGGAGTAGCAGCCACCGACCACGTGCCTGGCAAAGAGGGCATGCGAGGCCTAATGTAGTAAAAGCAAAGGCTGTAAAGTTGGGTGTCTCTGGGTGGGAAATGGGGCAGGAACGGTTGTCAGAGACAATCGTTCCTGAAGGTTCACGGTCACGATGTAGTCTCAAAAATTTATGCGGCTCAGATTACAGTATGTAATTCGATTTTCACGTCATATGTGAGGTTCACAAAAAATTGTTCTAAAGTTACTCTGTGTGTAAAGAAAGTTACGCGACGTGCAAAAAATATTACGCGCTGTTGAAAAATGTATAAACTGCCACAAACGATTGCACCTGCAACCATTTGTGCCCCTTGTCCCTCTGGGTGTGAAGTCTGCACATTAACCATTCACTTACTTGCAAATCACAAACTTTTTCATATCACTTATATTTCTGTATAACTGAAAACCGGAGAAAATCCACACTACTTTTAATTGTCATATACTTCTACGATATTCATAACCACTTTACAAAAAATTATTAACCTTTATCAATTTTGTGTTCGGCATACTTTGCATAACGACATACAAACCAATAATCTTACAAATCACAAAACATTTCTACAAACTACAATCCAATTGTAATTGCTTTGTCATTGATAATCAGAATACTAATGTGCTACAAATTTCATGTGTTTGGGATTAACACTTTGTCAGTTAATATTTTAAATCGCATTTTTTGTAATTACACATTGCAACTTTAAAAAACACATAATACAATTTGTAATTACGACAAGTTTGAACTTTGAAAGAAGTCGCGAAAACACATAATATAAATGTAAACTTCTTATAGAGCTGGCAATTTGTCCCAAGTCCCAATGGGCTACCCATGCCCAAAGGAACTTTGGGCGGGATGGGTATTATAATTTGGTATTGGGTTTAAGTTGGGACACATCCCAACTATACCCATTAATGAATGGGAAAGGATGGGAAATACTTGGGTACCCATTGGGCTCAAATGGCAAGGGCTCCGTTTGGATTAGCTGTTTTTGGTAGGTGTTTTGGAAATATTTTATTGTAGCAGTGTATATGAAAAATTTTTACTATAAAATTTTTTTGAAATATTTGATATATTAATATGGATGGGATGTTTCTTGAGTTATTGTATATTACTGTAACATTGTATTTGAAAAACTTATTTTTTGAAAAAATAGTCAATCCAAACGGAATCTTAGATTCAAAAATTATCTTTAACAATTTTTATAGTCATACCAGCGAATATAATCTAGTAGTCTTCCTAGTCATTATCCACAAGAATTTCCAGCATTTCAGTTAGTTTAGACCTGTCATCCTTGGACAATGATAAGGATAAATATTCAACATCCTCAGGATCTTGGCCATCTTGATATATGTTGGAATATGGCTGTATATCTATCTTTTCCTTTATTTGTTAATCCAATTTTTGGTGGGAATCTTGAGTATAAAGCACTTGCATGTTTATTTAATAAAACTAAAAGAAATTTAATAAATCAAAAATATTAAAATTATATTAAAAAAAATGAATTAAAGGAAAAAAAATATGTAGAAAATGGATTTGGGTATTGGGCGGGATCAATCTAAACCCATCCCAAAATGATCCCGCCCAAGTTAGTCCCAAAACACATATGGGTAAGGTTGGGCCCAAACCCATATGACTCGGTTCCATCTCAAACCCAAGCAAATCCCGCCCATCCCGCCCATTTTGCCACCTCTAACTTCTTAACACGAAATAATGACATGAAAATGAATACGTATGTCATTTTATGATTGTTGTTTAGGATTGACGAAAACCTATTCAGGTATTCTACAAATATCTTTTTATGTTTTTAATCAAAACAAAAAATAGCCCCATTCAGCAATTCGTTTCTATTGTAACGCCACGCACACACGCCCAACACTTCTTACGCCTTTTCACGTCCAGTAGAACCGCCATATAAATCGTACGATATTCACTAAACAATCACACTCCAACCTAACTAAACAATCATTCAGCTATTTTGCTTACCATTCCATTTGTGTGTTATTCTATTTTTTTGCATTCGTACTTTATTTTTATCTAAAAATATATTTATCCAAAACAAATTTGGGATTACAATTTCAATTTCTTTTATATGCAATCATATGTACTTCAAATTGTTATGGAATTCTCAAAGTATGATATAACCAAACAAAATATTTATCCTCAACCACCCCCATTTTCTAGTGCTAGTTCTGAGAATATGTGAAAATCAAACGTTGTCTTGCAAGCACTAAAACAGTTTTTCCAAGCTAATCACACAACTACCTTAAAAGGGGGCTTAGTCACATTATCCGTACTTCACTGAAGGATGGTGCAAATACTTCACTATCGTACCACCTTCTTTCGTATTTGCCCCAACCGATCCCTCACTCAACACAATTCTTTTTAGGGATAATTTCAAAAACCACCTCGGAGATTTCCAACAATTTCACTAAGATCCTCTAAGATTTGAAAAATTACACATACCTCTCTTGATTTGATAGTTTTAATAACAAAATATTAAAATAATATTAACTTGGTCAAATTTTTAAATGAATATCCAAAAATGCTCTTATATAACGAGTTTTAATATATTTTCCTATATAGTTATAAGATTATCTAGTATAATTTTAAGAAAAATGTGCCAAAATTTTAATATCTATACCTATTGTTTGATAAACAACTATAATAATAATTTTATCACTATGATAGAATATTTTTTATGACATTTTATTATGGATTTAGATTTGTAAGATAGAAAAAAAATGTTGAAATAATTTATTTAGAGTTTATAAATTTTTCGAGTAGTGAAATTATCATAATTTAGTAGTGATTTTGGGCAATTTTTTTTTGATTTATTATTAATTTTAATACCACAAAATAGAAAACAAAGATCTGCAAAAACATTAGATTACATATAATTTAAATCATAAAAAATCACTAGTTCGATATTTGGTTAAAATAGAAACTAGAGATAATAGTGATAATTCTATAGTTTTATTGGCAATTTTTTTTAAAAAAAAAGGAATAAGAGAAAAAATAATGAAAAAATAATTTTAAAAGTCATTCTAAGTATAAGCATGCCAAATAAGGGAATTTTATTAAAATATTGAAGGGTAGTATTGTCATTTTAAATAAAAAGAGATGTATGTGTAATTTTTAAAATCTTGAGGGAGCTAAATGAATTATTAAAAACCTCAAGAGAGGTTTCTGAAATTATCCCTTCTTTTTATTTTACTTTTGTCGTATAGCGCGCGATGTTCGTTTTTGTTCTTCTTGCGTGCGCGTGGACTGGCCTCCATTTCTGTCCAGCACACGTGTCGATCTCTCGTACTGCTATCTACGACAGGAACGGTCAACGCGTTCCTTCCATAAAGGGATCCCTCAGTCTAGTCCATACTTCTTCTTCAGGCCTCAGCTACTAAAGAATAAGCTCTGCTGCACTCAACTCTTTCCTCTGTGTCTTGTGTTCTTGTCTGAAAATGGCAGCGCGAGTTAAAGTACCAAGAATCAAGCTGGGCTCGCAAGGTCTTGAAGTTTCAGCTCAAGGGCTGGGCTGCATGGGCATGTCAGGCTCCTACGGGCCGCCAAAGCCCGAGCCTGATATGATCAAACTCATCCACCATGCTATTAGCAGAGGTATCACCCATCTTGACACCTCCGATTTCTATGGACCCCACATCAACGAAATC